TTATTGAGGAGTGGTTTCGTAAAGGTGTGTGGGCTGTTGTTCACTTTATGGATGCAGATTTAAACATATTACAACATTCTGAGTTCTGTGATCAGTTTCAGATATGTTGCACAAAATAGAAAGTAATTATCAGGACCTTTCCTTGTCAGCTTCAGTCCATGGTGACACAGGATTCAGTAAGTCCACGGTGTCCCCTCTCTCACGGACACTCTGTATTGAAGATGTCAATGTTTGTGACGTCAAATGTAATAACAAGTAGCTGCTTATCCTATTACTGTGCTACTGGTGTTCTTAAAAGGGAATATATCCTCAGAGACTCCAACCAGAAACAAATTAAAATTAGATCTAAATATTTATCTTTTCCACTCCCCTCCAAAATAAAAGAAATGCAATTAAAACTTATAAACAAAATTTATCTAAGCAATGATTTTCTGAGACACAGGTTTAAAATGGATGTGGATAAATGTGTATTCTGTGAATAACTGAGGATTAGGACAATCTGTTTTTCACATATAATCCTTTTGGCTCCAGTTTATCTGGGTTCATGGGATACATTCAACAGCGTGGCAGCACGATGGATCAGTGATTAGCACTGGTGCCTCACAGTTAGAAGATCCTGGGTTCAATCCCCAGTTGGACCTGGGGTCTTTCTGTGTGGAGTTTACATGTTCTTCTTGTGCTTGCGTGGGTTTTCTCCCACAGACCAAAAACAAACTCTGCATTTTAGCCAAGGTTCTAGAAAAATGTTGGTTACGTACTGTAACCCCAGATTCTATGAGTATAAGCGTAGCCCTTTAAGGCAGTCGCTTAGTGGGGTTTATCCCGTTATGCGTAGCATTGCACTGTAAAAATTTAGTCCACGCCCACCTGCTGTGTGGGCCCCACCCATTCCGTATAAATTACGTTAAGAGCGGGAAATCGGCTCCCAAAATAGCATTTTCTTCAGCCATTTAGGAGCCAGTGAGGCCCGACGCTTAAAGGGCTACGCCTATACTCATAGAATCTGGGGTTACAGTACGTAACCAACGTTCTATTTCGTATAAGCTTCGCCCTTTAAGGCTGTCGCTGGTGGGTTAAGGGCGAAGCAGATGTTGTCCTCGCCTCACTGGGTCCATTCGAACACCTTATGAAGCGGAAGCTTGCCCAAAAAACGTCTTGTCACTCAGCTCTCCATGTGCGTAATTACGCATTGCGTAATTATGTGTGCCATGCACAGACGCATGTTGTGTAACTATGCGTTCTGAATGCATGAACGCCCCGGAAAAAAATTCAACGGGGAGGGAAAATATGCTGAAAAGAGCCATGAACCAACCGGTTATGGCTGAACAGTATGAACAGATTATTAATAACAGGAGAGCTGATTATTAATCAAATGAACTGATTGGTAACAATAGTCGTGAACTGATTAGTGACAATAGAACCAAAATAACAATCACAACTTGTGACTGATAACAACATCTCACACTGTAGTGCATGCAGACAGATGTGAGTTAAATTGAGTTCCATGAAACAACAATATTCATTCTGTAAACACTAAGGACAGAATGTGTCATGGGACGAGCCATCACGTCACGTAGATAAAAGCGAATGAATGAGCAGGGTGTTGACCACGCGGCCGCAGTGCAAATGTCCTGCATTGTCATACCATTATGCAAAGCAGTCGAAGATGCGATACCCCTGGTCGAGTGTGCTCTGAGGTTGACAGGAGGCTCTAAATCTGATGCTCTGTAGGCTTCAGAAATGGCCTCACACAGCCAGTGTGACAAGCGCTGGGTGGATAACGGGCGACCTGCAGGTGCATCTCTATAATGCACAAACAAATGTTGAGTTTGACGCATTACAGCTGTGCATGTTATGAAACATGTCAACGCCCACACCGGACAGAGAAGATGGAAAAACGCCTCTTCTTCTGATTTGTGGGGGGAAGGGAAAAACCCCTCCAACAATATCACCCTTGATTTAAAAGAGCTCGTGATGTTTTAGGCATAAAGCTGGATTTGATCTTAAATCAGCTGAGCTGCCGTCAGCCTGAATTCTAAGACATGACGGAGCGACAGAGAGGGCAGATAAATCACTCACCCTCTTAGCGGATGTTAAAGCCAGCAGCAGGGTTGTTTTAAGAGACAAGAATTTAATTGGGACCTGATCCAGAGGCTCAAATGGAGCTTTGATCAGGGCTTGCAGGACCAGCGTTAAAACCCACTGTGGAGCAAGTGGGTGAAACAGGCCTGCGTCTCTGTACACCTTTTAGAAAACGCTTCATCAGCGGCTGATTAAAATCTGTTCAGTCTCCGAACCCTTCGTGGCGTACGTTTTAATCGTGCTGGACGCCAAATTTCTGTCCATCAACTGTTGTAGAAAGGACAGCATGCCACCTAGTGGACATGAGATGACCTCTACACCTTTCTCAGTACACCAGCGCTGAAAAACTGTCCACTTTGATGTGTACAGCGCTGTGGTAGATGCAGCACGTGAATCCTGGATTGTGCGCACTACATCCTGTGGGAGACCCATCCTCACTAAGCAGAACCGCTCAGTGACCAGACCCACAGGTGCTGGCCTATTTCTGGGTAACTCCTGATCGCTCCTCCTGCCTGGAGGAGAGCATCATCCCTCCACGGCAGTTTCCACGGGTGCCCCGACAGCAGGCGTTGTAGGACTGAGAACCATGGTGCGTTCACGTGCTCGGGGGCCACCAGGAGAGATGTCAATCCCTCCTCCTGAACTCGGTTCAGGAACCGTAAAATCAGAGGAGGTGGAGGAAACGCATACAGAAGCGTTTTGGGCTGTGGGCAAACGCATCCACCGCCAGCGGTGGTTCGTCTCGCGGGCTCAGGGGAAACCATAGTTGACACTGAGCGTTTTCTCGTGTCGCAAACAGGTCCACAGTTGCTTTGCCAAATTTCTGCCATGTCTGAGTCATCAGGTCTGGATGGAGGGTCCAGTCCCCGTGACGTGGACCGCCCCTGGACATCACATCTGCCCCTTTGTTCAGAACACCGGGTACGTAAACTGCTCTGATGGAGAGCAGATTTTGGTGAGCCCAAGACAGTAGCTTTCGCGCAATGTGTAACATCTGCGCTGAGCGCACACCCCCCTGCCGGTTTATGTACGCAGCAGTCACCTTGTTGTCTGTGTGAATCAACACGTGTTGATTCTGTAGCACGGGAGCAAAGTGTTGAATCACATTTGGCACCGTGCGACACTCCAAAACATTTATGTGGGCTGATGTGTGATGGGGCCACAGCGCCCGTACTGCTTGAGATAGACATGTCCCCCCCAGCCTGACAGCGACGCGTCCATGAAGACTGACACGTGTGACGTGGGTCTGCTGACGGGGGCTCCCTCCGACAGAACCAGGGTATTTCCCCAGTGTCGGAGGTCTGCCCTCACGGAGGGAGGAACAGTGATCATCCGTCTCTTTTGTTTTTCTGGATCCACACGCAGACGCGCAAACCACCTCTGGCGGTGTCTCATGTGTAATAAACCCAGCGGGACAACTGTGTGAGCTGATGACATCATTCCTAACAGCTTCATGACGGAGACAGCTGTTACCACTCTGCCAGGTCTTACGAGACGGAGCTGGTCTTTTAAAGTGTTGGTTCTCGTTTGTGATAAACGAGCCCTCATGGTGGTTGAATTTAACTCCACTCCCAGATAAACAATTGTCTGGGCCAGGAAAATCGAGCTTTTCTTCCAATTTATGGTGAAGCCCAGATTTAACAGGTGTGATGTCAACACCTGAGCCTGCATCACTGCTTCCTGTCTGGAGCGTGACAGCAGCAGGTCGTCCAGGTAAAACAAAACTCTCATCCCTGCTCTGTGTAACAGATGCAGGGCTGTCTCCACACACTTTGAGAACGTACGAGGCGCGAGAGGATAACCGAATGGCAGCCTGTTGTACTGATACTTCATCCCTTGAAAGGAGAAACGCAGGAATTTTCTGTGTTTTGGGATGATCGGTATGTGAAAATAAGCATCTTTTAGGTCGACGGAAAACAAACCAGTCGTTTCTCTGGATGTTGTCCAACAGCTGTCTGGTTGTCAACATGTGAAACGGTCTGTCCATGATCGCCTTGTTGAAAGCAGACAGATCCAAAATCGGTCTCATCCCTCCGGTCCGTTTGGGAACCAGGAAGTAACGTGAGTAAAACCCTGTGTTTTTCTCTCCGTTGGGAACTCTGGAGATTACTCCTTTTATCAGAAGCTCTTGGACTTCTGCATTTAGGGATGAGATTTGGTCTGGT